TATATATATATATATATGCAATTAAATTAAAAGTATTAATTCCATTTCATGAAATGGAACAAAATTGTATTTTTTCCAAGCATTAGTTCCATTTCATGAATGGAAATAATGCACTTAATTTAATTGCAAAATTAAATCACTGTTTTTAGCTTCTATTTTTTGAAACATGGTTGAACTGTGTAAAAAAAAACATATTTTAAATCAATTAATTTATAATATTAATGCTCTGTAAATTTACATTGAGCACTATTTTGTAAAATAAAAATATCTATAAGAACACCGGATTTTATATCTTACTGTTCTTTCTTTTATATATATATATATATATATATATATATATATATATATATATATATTTTTATATTTTGTTCATTCAATTTATATTACAATGAATATTCATACAAAAAGTAGATTAGAAAATTAATGATAATATATTTAAAGTTGCATTAATAAAATCAAATCCATGAATATTATGATCCTTCTTTTAATAACTACAAGTTGTATAAGGTCTTTTTTATTTATTTAAGTTTTCAATCATGTATATTCAGTCATCCTCATCTGATGCAACCTTTGATTTTACTAAAAACAAAATAATTTCCATGTTTGAGGATGACTGAATGTACAGTAGAAAGTACCTTATACAGCTTGTAGTTATTAAAAACAAGGATCGTAACATTCATCGAGTGATTTGTACGTTAATGCAACTTTAAAATTTTGTTTGCGAAAGGATTTCGCCATTTTATATAATTAACTTTACTAATCTACTTTTTGTATGAATGATTCATTGTAATGTAAATTGAACTGCACCACATATTTGATTTAAACACACACACACACACACACACATATATATATATATATTTCGACGTAAGAGGATCAAGCAAGTCAGTTCCTAGAAACCGACAACCATACCACCCACACATACTTGATTATAATGGTGAAGGCTTTGTGCAGACCCAACCACCCTTTTTAAAGAGCCGTATACGGAGACCTGGTGCACTACGTGCCACGAGGTCCCCAAACGACCCTGCGAAGGATTTGAATTCAGAGTTGTCCTTCTCCTAGACCAGTTGGCATCCCAGTCTGTCCTGCTATTTTACCCATAGCTGGAGGGAGAAGAAGAGAATTCATACCTTCCCAAAGTGTATTAGCCCGTAAGTTAATGTAATGGATTCGACTGAAATTCGAACTCAGCTCTTCGATTCCTCAATTCGCTATCCATTACACCACTGCAAAAAGTCTCGCACCATATGGGGTTAACTAATTAGTAATGTTTTAAATGTCTGCTGTGTTTTGATAGTTTCCGTTGAGTGGCCACCAATGTCAAGAGATCTCAAACCTGGGATTTTTTTTTTATATAATCAAGTTTTTGTATCAATTGTTAATCAGACCCACCCAAGAAGAAATATTGAGGAACTAAAGAAATAATAAAATATGAATTCAGTAAAATGACAGGAAAGTCTCCGGCGTGTTAATGTATCCGGCAGGCATAAAAATAATTTTTTTTTTTTTGAAAATAAAGGAAGCCATTTTGAACAGAACATATAACAAAGGACTAGGAAATATTTCCCAATTATTGTTAATTTATATATATATATATATATATATATATATATATATATATATATAGGTAACTATACTCGTTTCTGAAAAACCCTTGAATTTTTGATTTGCCAATAATCAAATCAATCTCGAGGCTTTGGTCACGTGGTATAATTTTGACCATCACCTATAAATATGCGTTTCTCTTTTGCCTCTTTAGCCAGCTTTCCCTGACGATTCCTTAAATTGAAACCTGGGTAGGTTTGTCTGGCTCACTATGTTTATATATATATATATATATATATATATATATATATATGAAGATATATAGTCTTAAGATGTGCTATATTTATGGGATAAAGTATCAATATCAGAGATAAAAGCGTGTGTAAATATATAAAGTGAACATAAAATCATGCTATATGCAATCAAACGACAGATTGCATTTCGAAGCAGACGATTGCCTATTGTTGATTTAATGTTCACTTTTTCTATATATATATATATATATATATATATATATATATATATATATATATATTATGATTCTGATGTATATGCCAGTAATGCTATTAGAGAAACTATTCAAGTGAAGGCCAGAGAGCACATCGTCTGGATTAATATTCTGACAAAAAAATATATATATATTGAATAAATAATGCTGTAATAATAACTGATCGTATGAGAAAACACTGATATATATATATCACTATATATCACTCTCTCCCTCTCTCACTCCTCCCTCCCTCACTCACTCACTCACTCACTCACTCACTCACACTCTCTCTCTCACTCCCTCATTTTCTCTCTCTCTCGCTCACTCAATCTCATACCCACACACACACACACTCCCTACACTCTCTCTCTATATTCTATCATATATCATTCACTCACAAAACACTCAAATCCTCCTCTCTCCCTCCATACTCCTTACCCCTCCCTCTTATCTTATTCACCCACAAACTCACTCACTCTCCCTCCCTCCTTCACTCTCTCCCTCCCACTCACTTGCTCCCTTTCACTCACTCACTCTCATTCGTTCACTCTCTCTCACTCACACTCACTCATTCACTCTCCCTCACTCACTCCCCATACTCACTCAATCTCACTCTCACTGCTCATACTCACTACCTCACTCTCACTCCCTCACTCTCTCCCTCGCACACACTCACTCACTCTGTCGATCACCTTTTCTTTGACTCATTCACTCATCCTCTCTTAAAGGGATCCTACTTCTCTGCTTATCAAATTACCTCCTTTATTTCCATGAAAAAATGAAGCAAAAGCGAGTAAGGTTTCGAGTGAGAGAAGCAGAGGAGGAGAGTGAGGTTTCAAGAGAGAGAAGAGGAGGAGGAGGAGGAGAGTGAGGTTTCGAGAGAGAGAGAGAGAGAGAGAGGCCTTTGTCTACCAAAGTAGGTGTACGCCTGGCAATAAAGCTGACATCTCAACAGGTGGTTATACTTAAGCTCTTTCCCAAACATCGTATGGATTCACCCGCAAACAAACACATTCTCATACAACTGAAACACTAGCAAACATTCATATTTTTTACAGTAAGTTTCGCCCTGTACAAGGCCCGGAATCCACTCGATGTAGAGTGTTACGGTAAGGAGCAATTTATACGGAAAGGAGATTGAAGATAACGGTTAACTCTAGAGTTGAACAGGTTAAGATTGTAGTGATCGGGGAAACATCCACTTGGGAGTCGGTTCGACAGAGCACTGATTTGCAGGATGATGCTGTTCGACGGCTATCCTCCTCTGCGTCACCTGCTATCCTTTTCCGCCTCACATGCTATCCTTTTCCGCCTCATCTGCTATCCTCTTCCGTCTCACATTCTATCCTCTTCCGCCTCACCTGCTATCCTCCTCCGCCTCACCTGCTATCCTTTTCCGCCTCACATGCTATCCTCTTCCGCCTCACCTGCTATCCTCTTTCGCCTCACCTGCTATCCTCTTCCGCCTCACCCGCTGTATTCTTCCGCCTCACCAGCTATCCTCTTCCGCCTCACCTGCTATCCTCTTTCGCCTCACCTGCTATCCTCTTCCGCCGCGCCTATGAGGCGAACTGCACCGTTTGCGAACCACTGCTATCATCCATCTAACCACAATTTTGATTTACTAAATGTCAATCTAATCAAAATAGAAAAGAATTTACTAAGAAGTATATGTATTGAGAGTGTGCTGATCTCCGAATACTCGAAAAATAAACCCCAGAACAGGGCCTTAAGTAATATCACCAATCATCTTAAAAGCAATAGAAGCAATATACTGTATACGAGCTACTCGGAATTCAAAAGTTTAAAATCTAATAGACATCAACGACTAGATATAAAGCAAAAAGAGAGTGAATAAAAACATTCTGATCTTTGGTCGTCAGATCTGATAAGGTAATTTAATTTCTTGACCTTCTTATCCTATAAAAAAGTCCTAGCAAAATTTTCTTACACAGTTTTGTCTTTCGTCCTACCTAGAAAGCCCCCAACCTAACACTCGTCGGTGAAAAGTATTGTTAAAAAGCTTTTCCACTTTGTACCCAGTATCTTCATTTTTTTTTTCTAAATTCTGAAGTTCGGGCTGAGAACTTTTCAGTTCCTCATCTGTGGAAACAAAAGAATAGCTTGTAGTATTTATATGAATAAACTGTAATACTTTGATACATTGATATATGACTTTTAAGAATATTACTAGAACAGCGGTAAGAATGTATAGCTCCAAACTCGAAAAGATTGCTGGTGCATAAATTCAATATTGACTTTTAAACTAACAATGAAACCGACTACAGTCACTTGTTAGAAATATACAGTCGTTTTAAATAAACTTGTAAACATCATTGATAGTCGAATATTCGCTTCGAACCACAAAATGCTACCTCTTCAACCACCAAGCAGGTTAACGAGAGATTTACAGCCATTAATGTTTTATTTCGTATACCGACACCCTTTTATTTCTTTTAATTCATCGTCAGCCATTTATTTCTTCATTCTTTATGCGGACGTCTTATAAATAAAAAAAAATTGTAAGATCAACCTAAATTATCGCTTCTGGAATCTCTGTTATTAGTGCCACCATTTTAGAAGTCACCTTCTTGGCCCCCCGATGCCATTGTTCAATAAAAAAAAAAGACAGAAAAGAAAGGCCAAAATGATTACCAAGTAACACACACGTTTCCGTCGATGTCTTAATTTTTCAGGCACTCATTATGCTAAACTCTCGTCTTGTCTCGCCACAATTCTCGTTTGTCACCCGTTTAATCCGACCACTCAATCGTCGGTCGACCCGTTGACAGTCGTTTGTCTCTCCAATGTCTTCCCTTGCATTTTTCTTGTTGTTGTTGGTTGCTTTTCTTCTTCTTTTGCTTTTTTCTTTGTTTACTGGAAGATTCATTAGAGTACACCTTCTGCCTGACATTAGATGCTGAGCGTTTATATCATGCTCGAAACATCGGAATAAAATACGTTAAAGTAAAAAAAATGGCTGCCAACGAACGAGTGAAGTAGAAAGAGAGAAGAGAGAAAGCGAAAATGAAATCAGACAAATAAAGTAGAAGAGAGAGAGAGAGAGAGAGAGAGATAGAAAAAGAAAGACATACGTAAGAAAGGGAAAATGAGAAAAGACACAATACAGAAAAATGAGAAAGAAGAAAAGAGTCAGTGAGAAGGAAAGAAAATGACTAGAAAAATGACTAAAAAACAACAGGAAAAGAAAGACAATAACAAGAAGAAAGAAAGAAAGAAAGAAAGAAAGAAAGAAAGAAAGAAAGAAAGAAAGAAAGAAAAAAAAACAAGTTTATAATCTGAGGAAATGTATGAATAAATAAAGACGTAAAAAATACAAATAAACAAGAAATTAATAAAGGAAAGTAAATGAAAGAAGGTGGAAATAAAAGAAAGAGAAGAATATATATAAAGTGAATGAAAGAAAGAAAATAACGAGAGGAATAAATAAAAGAATCAAGGAATAAAAATGACAAAGAGAAAAAGATTGAGAGGAATAAACGAATGATATTGAATGAAAAATAAGAAAAAAAAGAACGAGAGAAAATGAAAGAAAAATAGTATAGTGAATGAAAGAAATATAATAATGAGATGAATAAATGAAAATGAACGAATCAATAATGAAAAATAGTAAAGGCATGGAAGAAGATGTTTGAGAGGAATAATGAAAGAGAATGAATGAAAATTATCAAAGAAAATCAAAGCAAAGTAATGGGAGGAATAAATGTAAGATACAATGAAGGAAGGAAAGAAAGAAAATAATAAAGTCAAGAATAAAAGAATGATGGAATAATAGAATGAAGAAGAAAATATGATATAGAGAATGAAAGAAAGAGAACAAAGAGAGGAATAAATCAAAGATAATGATTGAAAGAAAGAGAAAGAATGGAGAAAAAAATGAAAGAAAATTAGAGAATAAAGATAAGAAAAATGAATAATGGAAAAATAAATGAAACGGAATGAAGGAATGAAAATAATAAAAAGAAAAAATGGAAAAATAAATGAAAGAGAATGAAAGAATGAAGAGAATAAAAATGAATAATGGAAAAATAAATGAAAGAGAATGAAAGAATGAAGAGAATAAAAAGGAATAATCGAAAAATAAATGAAAGAGAATGAACGAATTAAAATAATAAAAATGAATAATGGAAAAATAAATGAAAGAGAATGAAAGAATGAAAATAATAAAAAGGACTAATCGAAAAATAAATGAAAGACAATGAACGAATTAAAATAATAAAAATGAATAATGGAAAAATAAATGAAAGAGAATGAAAGAATGAAAATAATAAAAAGGAATAATGGAAAAATAAATGAAAGAGAATGAAAGAATGAAAATAATAAAAAGGAATAATGGAAAAATAAATGAAAGAGAATGAAAGAATGAAGAAATAAATGAGTATCGACAATAATGAAAGGTTTAAATAAAAGAATGAACGAATGAAAGAAAATAAAAAAAAATCATTCGATCTAAAGAAAATTAATAAAAAAAAAATCGACTGTTTTCTGCCATCAGGCTTAAACACTGTACGTTGTTTTATACCAAGCCTCAATACAAAGTCCTTCTTTCATTCAGAAGAAAGCGAGCGTACCCAACCTCTTTCTGCCGTCAGTCTAAGCCCCACTCTTCATATTAAAACTAAGCTTTCGCTATCGGCCGAGTCACATCGCTGACCCTGCCATCATTTTACCTTTTATTTTTTGTTTGTTTGTAGCTCTTATTGACCACCGCCTCCTCCGTCCACCCCCACCAGTGACTGATTTATGGCTGAAAAGTACGTGTCTCTTTTTTGATGGTAACCATCCATCTTCTTCTCAAGAGAATGGACAGAAATGTCTCAATCTGCAAGGCTTTCTTTCCAGCAGGGTTTTTGCCAGCCTTTTCCATTTTTCATCATTTTCTTGTTTAGGTTCTTTTATCAATCAGTCTGGTTCTTTTTTTTGTTTTTTTTTCTTTCTTTCCTTCTTTATTTCTTTATAATGCATTTCTTTCTTTTTTCTTCATATTGCTTTCTCTCTTTCTTTTTATTACATTTTGTTCTTTTTTCTTTATATTGCTTTTTTCTTTTTATTACATTTTGTTCTTATTTCTTCATATTACTTCCTTTCTTTTTATTAGATTTCGTTCTTTTTTCTTCATATTTCTTTCTTTCTTTCTTTTTATTAGATTTCGTTCTTTTTTCTTCATATTTTTTCTTTCTTTCTTTTTCTTAGATTTCGTTCTTTTTTCTTCATTTTCTTTCTTTCTTTCTTTTTATTAGATTTCGTTTTTTTTCTTCATATTTTCTTTCTTTTTTTTTTCTTAGATTTTGTTCTTTTTTCTTCATTTTCTTTCTTTTTTTTTCTTTTTTTTTATTTTTTCGTTCTTTTTTCTTCATATTTCTTTCTTTCTTTCTTTTTATTAGATTTCGTTCTTTTTTCTTCATATTTCTTTCTTTCTTTCTTTTTATTAGATTTCGTTCTTTTTTCTTCATATTTCTTTCTTTCTTTCTTTTTATTAGATTTCGTTCTTTTTTCTTCATATTTCTTTCTTTTATTACATTTCGTTCTTTTTCTTCATAATTTTTCTTTCATTTTTCTTTTTATTAATTTTTTCTTTTTTTTCTTCATATTTCTATCTTTCTTTTCTTTTATTATTTTCGTTCTTTTTTCTTCATATTTCTTTCTTTTATTACATTTCGTTCTTTTTCTTCATATTTCTTTCTTTTTATTACATTTTGTTCTTTTTTCTTCATATTTCTTTCTTTCTTTTTATTACATTTCATTGTCTGTTTCTTCACACAGTTTTCTTTCTTTTTGTTGCATTTCGTTCTCTTTTCTTCGCATAATTTTCTTTCTTTTTATTACATTTCATACTTTTTTCTTCAATTTCTTCTTTTT